CACAGAATGGGAGAAAATCTTCGTCAGTGACAAACCCGACAGAGGTTTAATATCCAGAATATATTATGAACTCAAAAAACAGAGAACCAAGACAAGAAGTAACCCAATTAAAAGATGGGCTAAGGAGCTAAACACAGAGTTCTCAAAAGAAGTAAAGATGGCTATGAAGCATCTTAAAAGGTGTTCAATATCACTAATAATTAGGGAAATGCAAATTAAAACCACTTTAAGATTTCACCTTACCCTAGTCAGACTCACTAAGATCAAGAGAACAAATGATGCCAAATGTTGGAGAGGATGTGGGGAAAGGGGAACACTCATCCACTGCTGGTGGGGCTGCAACCTTGTTCAACCCCTATGGAAAGTAGTGTGGAGAACTCTTAAAATAAAACTACAAATGAGCCGGGCGTGGTGGTGCACGCCTTTAATCCCAGCACTGGGGAGTCAGAAGCAGGTGGAAATCTGTGAGTTCAAGGCCAGCCTGGTCTATATATAGTAAGTTCCAGGACAGCTGGGGCTAAAGGGAGACCTGTCTCAAAAACACCAAAAAAAAAAAAAAACCCACAAATGAGCCTACCATTTGACCCAGTTATACCACTCCTTGGCGTATACCCAAAGAACTCGTCGTTTTGCAAAGACAGTTGTGCATCCATGTTTGTTGCTGCTCTTTTCATAATAGGTTGCTTCCATCTCGTAGCTAAGTGTCCCTCAATTGATGAGTGGATAATGAAAATGTGGTTCATTTATATCATGGAGTTTTACTCAGCAGTAAAGAAAGATGAAATCACGAAATTTGCAGGTAAATGGATAGAACTAGAAACTGTTATACTAAGTGAAGTAACACAGACTCTGAAAGAAAATCAACGTGTATTCTCCCTCATATTTGGATCCTAGAACCAAATTCTGAAAAGTGAGTATGTATCCAGACATAACTGCAGGAACCAGGATAATGGAAATGAAACATGGAGGTAAAGGAAAAGAAAGAACCTGAAAGAGAAGAACAGTAGGCAACAGGCCTTAATAAGGGAGACATGGATAAAAGTTGGGTTAGTTTAGGGAAAGGTATACTAGGAACCTAGGGGATAAAGGTAAAGAAGGAGCTCAAGAGAGGTAGGACTGTAGGAGAAGGGGGGGGAGACAATGCAAAAGATAAATAATGCCTAGCTAGTTTTGAAAACCCAAGGCATCCGTATTATTTCTACAATCCACTGACGAATTATACATAGCCGATCAAGAAATATATGTCTAGATGAAGTTTATCTGAGAACAATTGGTCTTTTCCTAAGATTTATCTACATGACACACAATAATTAAAAGTAGCAGACTGGTGGAACTAACCTTCTTGGATGTTTAACAGACATACTTTGAGGTCTATAATAATTTGGTCAGAGGGACATAAAGAACACTTTTTGCTCCTTGCCCTCCTAGGTCGATAGTTCCAGGGGACTATGAGCATTTCTCAAAATTTCCTGTAATTATGGTGGGTCACCTGTCCTCTTGATCAAGGAGTCCAAGGAGACCCCACCAGATCAACTTGATCCAGTGTCCCTTCTACAAAGAGGAGGGTCAACACAGAATAATCATTTCCTCCATGCTTCCAAGCAAAACCAACCATGGTCAAGCAGGACCTTTGACTTATCTTCACAAAGGCTGAACTGTTAAACAAAAGGAGCCGGGGCTCTTCCGAAGACCATGTGACCCCTGAGGAACAGATCCTCAAAGAACATTAAGAGTAAAAATAAATTGGTTTATCTGGGCCAACTGTAAGGCCTTAAACAACCAAAAGGGGAGTATAACCAAAGATTACAGGGGCCAATATAATTTTTTAAGCATCCATTTGTATAGGTAAAGGCTATATAAGAAGCAACAATGCCAGGTAGGAGATATCTTTTGAGTTGTTGGCCAGGGTGGCCCAAGGGACTTCCAGATCGTAACCCAGCATAGAACTGGGAAAATGAACAGCAGACCCCAGTCTTATCTAAAGTAATATTGACAATTGATTACTGCTAGATGAGGAACAGCTGACCTTCCTAAAACAAAGACCTCTAGATAGGCTGACTAGATTCACCAGATGGACAAGTAGTGGGGAATGGTTGGGGGTGCCACCAACACAGCAGACAGTAGCAGGGATATCAGAGTATAAGGGCTCTAGTGGGGGGAGGGAGTCTATGGGAAGGTGTCATCTGGGAAGTGGGTATATAATTTAAAAAGATGGTTTGGGATGTTCCGTGTGATATACACAGAAAAATCAACAAATTTTTAAAAGTGTATTATATATGAGGACAGAGCATGGGAATTTATGTCATGTTAATTAGTAGTGTTGATAAACTTTACCATTGAAATCTATGCGACTACTTTATAGACGTTCCAAGGATCGAAGTGCAACTGATTATGACTAGTAATAATCAGGTACATACAGATTAGAGATGCCTGTGCCCACATCTCAGTGTTCGTAGCAAAAACAATGAGTCTTTCTTCAAGGAACAGTATATTCGAAAATGAAATGGAGATGTTTTTTAAAGGTTAAAAACTCATTCAATTTTATGTCCTACATGGCTTATACTGAGTTCAGTATTGTATAACTGTATTAATTCAACTATGAAACTAGAAACTTACAGCCACTTGTGGAAGAAATGTACTCTTGCTCTGGAGTATGTTACTGAATATGTTAAAGATACAAAGAAACGCTTTGTCTAATCATGTAGTTATTAATAAAAGTTGATATTAAACTTTTAAATGTTAAAAATAAAATTTAAAAAAAAAAAAAAAAAGGAAGGCTTGGCGTGGTGACACCTTTAATCCCAGTACTCTGGAGACAGAGATAGGCAGATCTCTGGGAGTTCAAGGCCAGCCTGGTTATATCGTGAGCTCCAGGCCAGCTGGGGCTACAGGGAGACTCTGTCTCAAAAAGACAGAAAAATAAAAATTTTTATAAAAAGTAGGTTAGTGAAGTCCTTCTGCTGGATGGAGAAGGTTTTTTAAAAAACTAAATCTCATGTCAACTTGGAAAATGAGTCTCACATTAAGAAATAATTCCAGGCAGGTGTGGTTGCACAGGCCTTTAATCCCAGCAGGCTAAACCCCATTTGGTTTACAACTGACTATGTAGACAGGCCGGCCTTGAACTCACAGAGATCTGCCTGTGTCTGCCTCCCCAATGCTGGAATTAAAAGCCGGTGTTACCATGCCGGACCAAGGTTATTGCTTTTATCATTTGAGTATGCAGTAGACTAATTTATTATTTACTGTTATGTAACATATTACTCCAGAACTTTGTATAATAGTAAATACTGTCTCATACTATGAATCTGGAGGTGGCTTAGCTAAATGGTTTTTCTCTGAGTATATCTCATAAAGTTGTAGTCAGAATGTTGGGCACAGGGGTACCAGGGATTGTTTCTCTGTGGTAGACATGTACTTAGCGTCTGGAAAGCCTTGGGTTCAATTCTTAGCACATATTGTCATTTCTGTGGCATCTTAAGGGTTATAGAGGACATTTCTAGGTATTATGAAAGGAGAATAGTGAAGACGTACATTTAGGAAGCAAAAGTAACTAGGGATCCTCTCAGAACCTGGCTTTCCATACACCTTTAGAATTACCTTTTAAGGCATAAAAAATAAAAAATTCATAGGCTAAAGCAAGTACGTCTGAGCTACATTTAGGGCTTTGGTCCTTGTTTATTTGGGGGGTTTTATTTACTTATTATTTATTGCTTTTATGTTTATGTACTTGCCCTTGTCTCCAGACGTGTGTATCAGTCTTGGGCACGTGCAAATCATGCCTTCATTACGTAGCTTGATAACTCTTTCGAATATAAAATACTCCAGAAATTTGAAGATAATCAGAGTTAATCCTTGATTTATTTGCAAATTGGAACTAATGTAGTTGACACTCTTAATATTTTCACAGTCCTTCTGTTACGATGGATGATCTGAAGAACCTTTTTACAGAAGCTGGATGTTCAGTGAAGGCTTTTAAATTCTTTCAGTAAGTCTTTGCATTCATGAAATATATTAATATTACTTAACATGGTTTGCAGTTTTTAAAAGTAGTTCAAGCCGGGTATGGTGGCACATGCCTTTAATCCCAGGATTTGGGAGGCAGAGGCAGGAGGATCTCTGGGAGTTCAAGGCTAGCCTGGTCTACATAGGAAGTTCCAGGCCAGCTGGGGCCACAGGGAGACCCTGTCTCAAAAAGACAGAAAAATAAAATTTTTTTTAAAAAGTAGTTCAGTGAAGTCCTTCTGCTGGATGGAGAAGGTTTTTTAAAAAATTAATTCTAAGGACTTTTTATATTTCTTTTATCATTTTCAGGAAAGATCGTAAAATGGCGCTCATTCAGTTGGGATCTGTGGAAGAAGCAATCCAGGCCCTCATTGAGCTTCACAATCATGATCTTGGAGAAAATCACCACCTCAGAGTTTCCTTCTCAAAGTCTACCATCTGACTTGTCTGTGGATTTTTCTCCTTAAACTGGACCATAATTTTATTAAAACCTTCAGGCATAGACTGAAGGAGCTCAAGACCAGTTCTGCCTCTTTCACAAGAATAACTCTTTTGGAGTTTATTATTCAAGAATATTCAAAACCAGA